GAAAATCACTCTAATCGGTTTCGTTTTCACTCAAATTCAGTTGGGAACTAGTTTGCAATGATTTCTGGAAGTTTTAGAGGGAAATGTTCTCAATTAGTTCAGGTTTGGTTCTAAACTCTTAATGGGCGTTCAAACCAACGCCCACTTATAAGTTTTTGTTAAATTCACTCTAGGTATCGAGACTACTTCTCTTGGTCTCGTGACTTTAATGTCTTTCCGAGCTCAAACCGTGAGCCTTCCTCTATGTATCGAGACTACTTCTCTTGGTCTCAAGACCTGCACCCAATTCTGCCAATGTTCAGTGGCAAATGCTCAATATATCGGACCTCTCTTTGGGGTCTCGAAACCTCATGTGTCCTTGGCCACTTTCCAGAACACTATGGCCTATGTATCAAGACTCCTTTGCCCTTGTCTCGAGGCATGTTCCAAACTTTTTAAGTTTTCATATTTCAAACACTTAAGCCTTTACATACCTCAACTTATTTCATTTCCTAAGTCTCCCAAAGGCAATTTCACTTAGCCAACCATCAAATATACATCAACATAACAATTCTCTAGTTAAGGTTCTAGGCATTCCATTCACTAACTCAACCAAATTTTCTGCTATAGGCTATTATCTTCTACCATGTATACATACATTAAACATATCTATGCATTTACACCTATAAGCAGGTATGCAATCGTTAAACATGCCTCTAATTTTATTGATTCTTGTCAAAATAAAATCACATTCTTGGGCAAACCCCTAGACATTCAATTCATCAAACAAACCACATAATACATGCTCATATACTCACTCTCCAAACAGTTAGATCATCATGGCACATCTCCAATCTCATCAGTACACACATCATGGCAGGATCAAGGTTCTTACTATGGCCACGTGCACAACAAGATCAAACATGAAACTCTTCTTTAAATAACAAGATTTAAGTTTACCAACATCATTTGAGTTTCTTTTTGTTTGCATTCCTCCATCTCATATCCTATTAACCAATCAACATGGTATAGTTCATCCTAGCTTACCTAAACATACACATTCTCGTTTAATCGTTTAATGTTAGCCATCATGGAATTATAGATGCTTGTACTTTACAAGTTCATGTCACATAGTTTCTTCTGCATCCATTCATGTGCACATACTGCATCAAACTATATATTCATAGAAATCCACACTTACGTCACAGTTTTACATTGATAATTCATAGCATGTACACATAGCTAACATAACTCATCAATCACATGCACGTCATCTAGACCAACATAGTTTTTTACTATAGCTTCTTTACTTAGGTCAGGGCGTTACACTATTAATTAATAATAAAAAAGTAAACACATGATTCTTGGGGAGAGTTGGAACACAAAATGAGGTAGGAAACGGGGCAGAGGATTTGAATTCTTCATCAACTTTCCCACTAAACAAACCACCCTCTTATCTATTCTTTCTTTCTTTTTGGGTCAATCTTCTTTTCTTGAAATATATCTAAGTAACTGTAAATTGTGCCACTCACTTTTTGTTTATTGAAAGTGACTCAAAAAATGCTGTCAAATGGACTAACAAACCCATCTCTATGCTCCTTAGAGGCTTAGGAAGTGGATCCTGCACATTGAAAGGTTGAAGAAGGAGGTTAAGAAATGGGACATTAAACACATCTACAGAGAAACTAATCAACTTGCTGATAGCCTTGCCAAGGGAGCGGTGCAGGGTCAGGTTGATTTGTTGAATGTTTATGACTAATTTCTTGTGTTTGAGGCTCTGACGTGCACTGATTCTTATCTAGGTCTGGTGCATCCTGCGGTGCAGCATGAGAGGGTGGCCGTCGAGCAAGAGATAGAGAAAAAGAACTTAATCGATCAGGAGGAAGCTGCGTGTGGCCTCTGCTTCTTGTTTGTGTCCTTGTGCATCTGTGATACTGCTGTGCATCTCTAACTGTGTTTTGGATTGATGGGAAGGTCTGTGTCTATTCTTGCGTTCTCCAGAAGGGCCCTTAGATGATGTTCTTTACTTTTGGCCATGATGAGGTTCTGGTGACATTGACTACTACTGTTTTTTGTGATTCATGATGTGAGTGGTGGACTCTGGTCTTTGAGATGTGCAGGAGATGCTGATGGGTTATCTGTTGAAGAGCACCTATTGATCAGTGATCGCTTGGTTTGTAAGACCTTGGTGGCTGGTGCTGTGATGATTGAGGACTGTCAACCCCAAAACACTCATTTATCTTATCACTCTGATAGAGTTTTACTAGTATTAGACTTTTGTTTAGGGATTTATCCAGAACTCTGCTTGTTTTTAAGATTATCCGTGTTGAGATATTATCCGTGTTGAGATGCTGCCAAATGCTCCTTGAGCAACTGCTCCTCTTGTAATTGTTCAGAACAAACTCTTCTTATGATAGCTTCCATGCCAACAGAATCTCCAAATCTCAGCGTTGAAAACTCTCCACGACATTCCAGCTTATCATTAATAAAAACTCATCTTTCAAAAAAAAAATTGTGCCTTTAGTGGCAATGGGAGTTACAAAAAAATAAAAAAAAAAATTTGATCCAATGACGAAACTAATCACTGGATGAATTACTTTGGGCATCCTTTTTCCAACATGGCAAGGCGCATGAATAAATGTACTAAGCAGTTCAGGAAAGAAACACAAAAATAAGAAACAAAGAAATAAATAAAGGTGTAAACCATTACTGAGAAACAAAGTCCATAATTCATTCAAATGCAACCATAAAAACATGAAAACCCTTCTTCATGGTGCTCTTTTCCCCAGTCAAGTTGCTTTGGAGAAAAGAACAACCAAATGCATGAAAAACCAAGTCCACAAGGAAATTCCAGAAGATATGAAAAAGAAACCACAAAAACAAATGAGGAAAATACTACAAGTCTTCAAACCCATTAGATTCACGCACAAACCCCTTTACTAGGTGTTTAGGAAAGGAGTAAACCTGCGTTCAGGGCATTTTTTTCAAACAGTGGCCGTCTTCATCCACATTGTCAAAGGGAATTTGGCCATTCTTCAGTCAAACAAAAAACATTATGTTTTCCAGGTCAGCATGCAGCCTGAACGAACCATCGAACGAAGCTGCAGATGACAGTGACAATGATGCCAATGATGAAGATGAGGACAGTGTTGAAATAGGAGAGTGTCTTTCCATCATTGCCTGATGGTACAGCCGTCCCCTATAAGCAACAAGGTCAGCATAGTACACAGGCGGGACCAGAGATACAGGTTTCGTGCACCTTGCAAAGGTAAAGCACATGTCGTAAATAAGCTTCTGCAACCGGTCAGAAGAGAAACCATGCTCATCCCACAAGACATGGTAGTGTGTTGGCTTGCTAGTACCAAGGCTTCCGTAGTGACTACAAAGATAAAAGTCAAACTCAAAACGGTGCACAATGTCAGTGTCCACAACTGTGCCTGGAGAGATATTACCAGTAGGACCCCTGTCTCTCTGTGGAAAGAAACGAGTTTGGTGCCGCTTCTGTGCGACAATGAGGGTGATAGTAGGAAAGTACTCCATTTTCTGGAATGCACTCTTGAGACCTACTAACTCTTCATTGAGAACCATATCAAACTGACCCTCACTAACCCCATCACGGAAGAGCACAATTTTTTCTGGTTTGACCTTATTTACCCGTTCATAAGATTCAACAAGCTCCACACACATTTCCCCAAACTGTAGGATTTGTTCTTTGCGATGGTCCTGGGGACGAACCCTTGCTGCGTAACGATTAGCTTCAGGCCAATTTACTGTGGCTACTACAGCTGCTATTGATGGGCTAGTTTTATTATGAGAGCCAGGATGATTAACATCTGCTCCCACAAACATAACATGGTCTTCACCCTGGAAGTGTGGCAGCCGGTCATTCAGCTCCACATTGCTGCCCCCAAGCTTGGCATTGATTTTCAGGGCAAGGTTAGCTAAGTACTGGTCCTTCCCTTTGTTTGCTTCGCCCGACAGACAACACTGAGTCACCACACCAATTTTAGTCTCAGAGATCCACTTGAGATACTTGTAGCCATCATGCTTCCTTGACATCACACAAAGTAGAAATTGTAAACTTCCTCTCCCAAGCTTATGAGCTTGACTAGTAACTTTTTCAAGCAGTTGATGAAGTACATTATCATTCAAAAATGTTTGCATTCCAGTGGTTTCATGTAAGAGAGGTTCCTCCATTCTCATCCCAAGACTTGTACACCTAGCTCTCAGCTTTGAAATAAATGAACCATAATTCAGTCTGAATTTATCAGCAACACTGAAGTCAATCACAGCCCAGCGCTCAATTGCTTTGCCTTCCACAACAGCCTTTCCAACCAGGTTCCACTGGCATTTGTCTTTGTCAACTGTTATCTTCATCAATTTGCCAGTAGTAGGAGCAGCCAATTTCAAAACTGGAGGCCCAATGACACGTCCTATCACTGATGTCATCTCAGTATTAACCTCAATTCCAAAATTTTGAATGATGTTTCCACTGCCAGTAAGAAATATATAAGATTTTCAGAAGATTCAAGATTGCAAAACCAGATTCATATTATAGGTGACCATTCCAGTTGATTACGATTATGGTCTTAGAATAGGATGATATATGCAGCTTCTGGATAGCAATAAAATAGTTTAGTGCCTTCAATTATATCCAGGCATCATAAAAAGCAAAGTAATAATCTTAAGCACAAATATTAGCAAAACTCATACATTTACAGTCATTTAAGGGCACTTTGGATCATATAGAGCACCCAAAAAAGTAACAAGAACTCATTCATTCATGCCAGAGAATGCACCTTTCATCAAGTGAATAAGCAAAAGTTGTTGATCCAGGCACTTATGCAAGAACGAAAGTTGCAACAGTGGCTGACTACTAGTATCAACTATCATGGCATGAAGTTTGTGACTAAATGTAAGGCTAGCTAAATTGGCTTTACAGCATGTAAAACAATTACATCATCACAACAATGTCTAATCATCTAAAACTTATATACTGGATGATGACGCAAAAGGTAATTACATTCAATATAAAGGAAACAGAGCAAAATGTGCCCCATTGCTCAAAAGTAGAAGAATTCTCATCAAATGTTATGTAGCAACAAATTCATTACTTGTGAGAACAATAGTGGAGACAACAAAGGAAAAATTGTTTTGTCAAATGAAAGCAACAAAACAGACAACTTGTCAAAGCAAACAGAGAAATAAAAGGCTCAATTGTCATGTATACATACCCACAAGGTCCATCCTCAGATCGAACCATGCAACAGATCTTGCTCCGTCTTTCCTGCGGCCTTGCCAGTGATATGTCCTTCAACAATAAGGCTGCATGTCGATCCAAATTCTCCTTTGGAAAGACCTGCCCCTCAGCTAAGACACAGAACTCCATTGGGACATAGTTTATCCGATTTTGCTTGCTCAAATCTAGACAAGGAATATCCAGGTGGGTGATATTCTTATTGTATTTCTCCAAGAAATAATCAACAAGCCTAATGCGCCTTTCTGGAGCATTGGCATCTGGAAATGTAATATCACGAGTTCTGTAACTCGTCAACCCAACTATAGCATATTTTTGTTTGGTACGTCGATGGGTTACATTAACTTCCAATTTTCTCAACACATTCTCAACCATTCTCCTATACCGTCCAAAAGCATTCACATTAAAACCAGGAAAGTGCTCTACTAGAAATTCGATAACTGGCATTTTCTTATGAAGTGCTAAAACAGAATAGTCCAGGCAAAGTGCTAGACCTTGGCAAGTGGGCTTGAGGCTATGTTGGATTCCTCTGGATGCTATGATGCCCCGTCCAAGATCATCTTCTGGACAAGATTCAGCAGGATGGAAGCTCCGGCCAGTATAAATCATACGCATAACTGGATTCTCCTTCATAACCACATCCATCCCCTGTAATATGTCACGAGGTATCGAGATGTTGCCTGTGGTCAAGTAATCCTTCAACTTGCGAAGCTTGAGCTCGTTCACAAGCTTTAGAGAAACAATGAATTTACGAGACTTCATGTCTTCTCCCTCAGATAATTCCACCTCGAATTGTCCTTCGGGTAACCGAACAGCACTAAATATATTCTTTTCACCATCATATGCAGTCATGGTCAATGGCAATTCAGAATCGTTATCAGTGAACAGCTTTTTCCGGATCATAGGCAGTAGCATCTTTGATAGTTTCACAGGGCGACCATGCCTTGGAGACTCCTGTGGCCTGACATCAACATCATAGTGCCTTATCACCCTCTCAGGATTGAAATTGACCCGAAAATGATTGACATCAAGCCTAACAGTTGCAACAGCTACTCCTCCACCTTTATCGGGTCGCATAATTGGGACATATCTATTCCTATTCTCTGGAGGAGATGATGTAGAAGCCAAATGTTCCAGCGAAGCAGAATCTGTAACGGAAAAAGGGCAAAATTTTTCTCAAAAATATATCTCAAATCCAAACATCAGTAACAAATCAAAATCAAGCCTAAAGTCTAAGCACATTTTACCACAGAACTTTAGCTAACGAATGCAAAATGACTCTATTGATCTTTTCCTTCATAAGGCAGAAACGAAACTTTGCTATCTCAAAATAAATTGTCCAACTTCATCAACATCATAATAAACTTTTGCTCCGTAGTTAACAAAGTCAAAACAAAAAGGATTTATACCAGGAACAGGTTGCACAGGACGAGAAGGCAATGCCGGCTCGTGAAGTTGAGGCCGTGCTGGTGGAGCAGCACCAAGCCCCCATGGTCTCCTCCACGGCCCGCCGCCACTGTGACCGCGCCCGGCTGATTCCATCACATGACTATAAGGCGGTCTCTCCAGTTGAGGCCGAGGGACCCACGTTCCCCTTCCCCCACTACCACCAGAGCCACCAGTGTAACCACCTCTTGTGAGACCCTGTCCGGTACCTTGATTAGGACCCCCTTGAGTACTAGTTGGATTCCAATAGACCCCACCTTGTTCTGAGACAGTGTGATACGGCGGCTGATGACCTCCGCCGCCGCCATCTCTTCCTCTACCTCTTCCACCACCTCGGTAACCACCTCTTCCACCGGTTCCTCTTCCCCTATAACCACGGCCTCTCTCCATTGGACTCGGGAGCACAACTCGGGGGAATTCGAACTCGGTCTTTACTCACTCCGTAACCACCAGATCACACAACCAAAAATAAAATTAAAGCAGATTTAAAGTTGGCAACAGTCCCTTAGTAAACAGGGCAAGAAAGAGTGAGAATCGCTGGTTTTAAAAGGGCAGGAAAGCGAAGAAAAATACGAAAATAGCCTCTCACGCGCGCTTAGTAGTTTGGTAAACGATTATGTGGAAAATTAAAATAATTAGTACATGCTTAGCTTAAACTACGGGTTTAAGATAATAACGATAATTAATGACTAAGAAAGACGAAGGGAAACTGAGCGTGGGATCTGAAAAACATTCCAGAAAGTTCGATGGGTTCGAGGAAGGTGGGGCTTTGCAGAAGTTGGACTCGTGGGGAAAGTGTGAGGAAAGGGCGGAGGATTTCATGGCTTATTTCCTTGAATATATGACGTCAGGCAAATCATTAAAGCATTTTGGCACAAATAATCAACTTGGAAAATAAACACCTAAAAACGACTTATCTTTATGACAAGTACTATCTTTTTTGAGCCATTTTAATAACATAATTTAAATTTAGTTAATAATTATTATCTCGTTTTCAGAGAATTACTAAATAATATTCTCATTTATTATAATTATTAATTTATGATTTAAATTGTGTCACATCAACATTTCATCTCAAAATTATAACCTAATTAATGAATATAAGAGTTAATGCATTTCGAAATTGCAATAGTTAATAATTAGTAATGGGGAGAGAGTATATCATTTTTTATATATTTATTTTTTATTAAATGATAATATTCGAATTTAATTTTTATTATATGGATATATATACACGTACGGTCCAATACATACACAAATTGCACATTCTTTTCAAAGTTGGGGGAAGGTAAAGTTTCTTCTTTCTTTCTGTTGGATCGACATGTTTGTTTGTAGTACTACTTGCAACCTTCCTTCCTTTTGCCATGAGAGTACTGAGAAACATATTAGTGGCTAAAAAATAAAAAAAAAATACAATTGCAAATGAAATAATGGTTACCCTAAACAAAAGAGGAGGTCGTTAAGGAGCATGGAATTATACAACAGAATTATATCTAAAAAGATATATGAATTACTTAAAAAATTTAAATAAGTCGTTATTATTTTATTTTGTTTAATTAAATTGTTACATTTTTATTTTAAATTAAATAAATTTTAATAATTAAAACTTAAAAATTAATAAATTATTATTAATCAAAATATCATTTATCTTTTTATATCATGAAGTGATGTTGATATGACATACTAATATATCATATGAAATTTTGATGTGACATGATACCATTATCATATTTTTTACTCTCCACATTAATAATACTGAAGTATAAAATAACAAGTGTCATTTTAATTATGACAAATAATTAATTGTGAATTATAAGAACTTATTCTATAACAATAAAAAATATAAAAACTTAATTAAACATAATAAAAAAACAATCACTTATTTAAAATTTTTAAATAATTTAAAATAAATTTAAATATTATACTTTATATTAACCTATATTATACTGTCATCATCTTCTTTTCCATTTTTTTCCTTTCCCTAAAGCAACTTTTGTGTGCCATATATTTTTATTAGTTAGTGGTAGTACAGTTCGCATTCAAATGCATGTTCTTAATGGAACTTGAGAGTCAAAATTAAAGCGCGGCAACACATGGCCTAATTTAGGTGAAATAGGACAGTTTATTGTACTTCAATTATAACTATTGGCTTCGGTGAAGAAAAGTCTTGGTCCTTTTCCTTTCTTATAAAGTCCCATGGCCCCTTGATGATGGAGCCTGGAGAGAAGCAGATAATCAAAGATTCAGAAAATAAATTTAATACGTCATTGTTGACTCCATTTGTTAGTAAGGTTTTCAGTTGATATAAGTGGTTTGGGATTCTAAATCTATTGTAATGTAATCTAATGTCAAAAATATATATAGAATAATACCCAATTTTTTTTGAATTTTTAAAAAAATTTCTTTTTTTATAAAGTTCAATCAACTTTTTATATTTTTTATATTAAATCAACTAAATTTTTATAATTAATAGTTGATTAACTAAATTAGTTAAAACATCATTTATCATTTTATGTCATGTAATGTTGATATAGCATGTTAGATGAAAACTTAAAATGATATGGTATCGTGTCAATTTTCACCTTCTATATCAATATTATTAGGATATAAAATGACAAATTCATTTCAATAATGATAATTAGTTATTTATTAATTATAAGATATATATATAATTAAAAATAAAAATATAAAGTTTTGATTAAATATAAAAAAATAAAAAAATATTTAAATTTTTTACTTAACATGAAATTTTTTTAAAAGTATTATATCGAATAAATTTTAAATTTGATATTGGCTTTAGACTTTGTTCATAATTCTATTCTATCACGAATGAATTTCATGATAAGACTAACCTGCCAAGGTCCACATTTTCTCTTCTCATCTGCCCGCTGGCAAGTCTTAATGATGCTGTCAGCTAATTAAGAGATGATTAATAGTAGTCAATACTAATCGTTTTGTCCCAATAAACAATTCTGTATTTCTCGGTGCTTCTTCGTTTTCCAGGGTTGGTAAGAGATTCCTAATTTAGGACGGCAAGTTTCTTTAGTTTTTAATTAATTCCCTTCATCAATATCATATTCAAACTCAAATTAAGTTGACATATCTTAAATTCTTTAACAAAAAATTAATTTTTTTTATTTTTTTATTATAGTCAATCAAGACATTATATTTTTATTTTTTATTACATTTAATTTTATTACATCAACATAATCCAATTATCTTTTAATATTTTATATTATATTATATTAATATAACATATTAATATATTATAATAAATAATAAATAATAAAGTGATATATTTGTATGATATATATATAATATTATCATATAATATTTTCACTTTTTGCATCAATATCAATTTAATATTTTTAAAATATAAAATAATAAATAATATTTTAATTACTAATAAATTAATTATAAAAATCTATTTTATAAAAAAAAAACAATCAGTGACGACCATATGGAGGCAGTGTGTCAAATTTTGGGTGTTAATGGGGAGCATTGGGATGGAATGTATCTGGACACGCCATTAATTAGTGGAGCATCAAAACGACAAATTTTCAGCTATGTGAAAGATTGATGAAGAGAGTTTTTAATTGGAAGAACAAGCTATTGTCGGCAGCTGGCAGAGAAATGATGATCAAATCTATAGCCCAAACTGTGCCCACTTACGTTATGAGTTGTTTTAAACTCCAGGATTCGATTTGTAAAGAGATTAATTCTGGTATTGCTCACTTTTGGTGGGGTGGAAATGGTAGAGATCAGAAGATACACTGGAAAAGCTGGAGATCAACGTGGATTTCAAAGCACTATGGTGGAATGGGATTTCGAGACAGTAGAAGCTATAATTTAGCAATCCTGACTAAACAGGAGTGGCGGCTGCAGTTGAAGGAACCTACCCTAGCTTACAAAGCGTTAGAAGCGAGATATTTTCGTAAAGGAGAGTTTATGGAATTAATGTTCGTGACAGTTAAGGACTGGTTCAGGGAAATTCAGAACAGGGTTACTAGAAGGTGAATTGTAAGACATTGTAGGTATCATGTGGGCGTTATGGAAAGCCAGAAACTTGCTCATATTTGGATCCGTTGGCTGTTATCAATTTGGGGCAGGACATGGTGCTATAGTATAAGAAAGCCAATAGAGAAGACATAAGAAGGGTCGATGCAGGGATGCAAAAACATACAAGATGGAGATGTCGTAGTGGCTGGAAACTTAACACTGATGCTACAATCTTCGAGACAGATGGAGCTCAGCAGATAGGAGCAGGATTTATCGTTTAATTAAAAGTAATACAAAATTAAAAAAAATGAAAATGAAATACAAAGACTTAATTAAAAGTAATAAAAAATTATTTAATTTTTTAAAATAATTTAAATTTTTTTTAAAATATTATATCAATTAAATCCAATCATTCATTAAAAAAAGAGATAAAAAATAATTAAGAGCTATAAAACTTAGGAACACATAGAATAAAATGGATAAATAGTTGAAGTATTATCTTAAAAGTCAAAACACCGCTCTTTCAATTGGAGGCACAAAATGCATAAACTGTTCATCAAGCTTACAGACTGTAGAGTCATTACAAACTTAAAAGTAGCATGATTCAATTAACAAAAGCTGAAAGTACATAGATAATCAAATAGACATACTACTTTTTTTTTTTGCTTCATTTCTCATTTTTGCTTTGGAATGGTAACCTATACATCCTGCCTGTTTCGATTAGTGTCTAACACAAACAAAATTCCTCTTTGAAATCACCAAAACCCAAAGTTTTGGCAGCAAGAGAATTGCAGACGAGGACTTCTGAGTTATGATCTGATCCCCAGGCTGCAGCAGACGAAACCAAGTATAGAGCTTAAATAGTAGAAATTCTAAAGCATTAGATTCACGCACAAACTCTTGAGCTTTCTGGGTCAGCCCCGGATTTGCAGATTTCATACTTGGAAAAGAATTACTAAACCCAAAAACAAAAAAAAAAGTATTAGATCAACTGATCAGGCATTCAGTCTTCGTTGACGAAGTACGGGTAAATCCCGTGCCAGCTTTCTTGATTATAGCTCCAGTTCGTAGCTATAATTAGTCGGTAAGACAAGCTGAGAGCCCCATGGCTCCAAGCTTTTCCGCTTGTCTTACAACTTTTGGCTTGCAGAGTGGTCTTATTATAAAATGATAAAGATACAAAGGTGCTGAGACGAAAGTGACCAATAACATGGAAGTGTCGGTGGGATTATGGGAGTGATTAAGAAGAGTACATCGCACGCTTGGACAAGTGCCAGGCTGCCATAGATAGTGAGTGCAATCTTTTACCATGAGATTAAAAATATACTATTGAGTTTATCTCATGTTCCTCACAGATAAAAATATTTATGAAAATATTACAGTAATTTTCAGTATCTAATATAATTATTGGGAACAAAACGATACGAAGTTGTGAACACAAATTTTTTTTTTTTGTGGATTAATGCAAAACTTTTATTTATCCAAAAATGCAGGCGAATGTCCTGCTACAAAGAACACTGTACATCAACCAATGAGATTGTACAGATAAAATGATACATCTACAAAGAAGTAACTAGAAATTTGCAGCTATTACAGAGATTGGCATTCCTAGCTTTGACCGGCTGTGTAGCTTGAATTGAGCTGATCAGTCCATGATAAAGTCGTAGATATCAGTAGTAGCACAAGTTTTCTTCCCATATTTCCCGTTGTTTTGGTCAATGCAAATGTAATAGATGTAGGCTTCCAGACAACTTTAAGAATGATCACAAGGAGAGATTTTCCTTTCAGTTTCTTTTCCCAGTTGAACTCATCAAGCCAGTCACCGTCAGGCTAGTGAATGTTGAGGTCTGCAAAACTTTCTCTTAAATTTTGCTTATTGTACATGTCTAGTTCTGATTTTATAAAAAAATTACATCATAGATATTTCAATTGTAAAAAGCTCAGGGTATTTTTCTTGAGTTGTTCTAAGTCAGGAGTATTTCAAGTTAGAAAGTATTTACAGAAGTATAAAAGTACTCAAAGACGTTTCAAGCGCAAAAACGCACAGAAACATTTCAAACGTAAAAAACGTCAATGACATTCTAAGTATAGAAGCGTTTAAGGTATTTCAAACATAAAGCACTCAAAAAGCGTTATAAGCATAAAAACATCCAAGAATAAACATGTAATAACTATTTGTACGGAAAAGTGAAAGTAACTCAAAATAAATGGTAGAGTTCATAAATTATCTTCACATTTAAAATGTTTTAAAGAATTTGGTTTAATGGTTCAGATATGAAGATAGTTAAGAAGACTTACTCTTAACCTTTTTTTAAAATACATGTGTTTTACCTTTTTTTCTGTTCTTATTTCTTAAAAATACACATGACACACTATTAAATGTTACTATTTTATTTATTCAAAACTTACGCCCACTACTCAACTACATTACCATTCTTTTCATATCTCGTAAAACGTTCTTCAACTATAGTATATTTTTCCATAATTAAACGTGCTCTCTTAATTATTTTGTACTCTTATTCAATATAAATAGTAGATTGAGAGGTAAGGAGAAGGGATTTTAAACACTCAACAAAAAGATTAGACTAAAAGCTTTATTCCTCCAAGTATTCTTTCTCTTCAACCTTCCTCATTCGTCCTTATCCGCTGCTTTTTCCATTTTTTCTCATCTCTCACCACCTACCACTCAAAGCACTTACGTTTCAAAATTTGCTCTAATCTTCTTCTTTACTGTCTTTAACTCATCCCGATTCACTCACTGCAACACGTTCTCTCTCCTGACCAAAAGAACCCGCTACACTTATTATCAATGCGAACTCTCCGGGAAGAATGTCTGCATGAAGAGGATTATTGCAGTAGTGTTCCGGCCTCAGTTTCTCTGCAGGCCAGAAAAGCTCCTTGGTGTGGTGAACAGCACGATAATAGTGCTTATCTTTAATGACTTGATGTTCGAGACAATCAAGCTTCTGGATGTCATCATTTAGCGCATCTTCGTTCCATGGGAGTCGACGATGGCCATGAACAACTGTCGGAAACTCTCCAAGTAAGACATGCATTCTGAGAGTGTGACCGACACTGTCAGTTGACAATGACACTATCAATCAATGGATTTTGTTTTTTTTTGCTAATCAAATACTTTTAAAAATTGTGGCCTTTGTTCGTATCATCTCTTAGTTGTCATTACTTCTGCTTCCCAATGTCCCCTGATGTATCCCTGCTACGATCATAGACATGAAAGAAAAGGAACTTACAAATTTTCTTCAATGGATTTACGCCCATTTCCTTTTGATTGACTTGTAATTTTCAATACCCAAATTGGAAGTTGGAAAAAATGCTCTGATATAGCTCAAGACTCAAGACTAAAGTGAATTTTGCGCCAAACTGAGAAAGCATATATTTACTGATTCAGGCAAAAATACCAGCACCATTCGAAGATTGGATCATATCAACAAGGAGCGGGAACTGTAAGAAGGCAAATAAGGTTACAGGAATACAAGCAATTAAAGCTGTTGGGACAGCAATCCATGCCAGTCTTTGGCTAAGGACAATGCAAAAGGTTGCACCAAATGCTACAAGCATTGCTGCTATGGATAAAAAAAGGGTAGCAAGGCCAACAATCAGTCTCTGTGGGAGTAACCTAAGGAAATCTTCTTCTGCGTAACGTGAAGTGAGGATTGACAAGAACATTAAGATAGAGGTGACTGAAGAGAACAATGCCAATGCATCTGATATAGCAAAAATTATGAAAGATTTAGCTTCTAAAAATATGGGAGTGCCTTTGTCATTGTCATTGCCTCCTGGTACAGTAAAGATAGCAGCAAACATTACAGTAGTGATTAGTGTAGCAACAAGCATGCACGATGAAGCAGTGCTCTTCATCCACTTCTCTCCTTCCTTGACCAAATTTGTGTGCTCTTCTGTGAATAACATTTGAGGTGTTCTACCATTAATGTCTCTCATTTCCTTGTATAAGGGTTGTACGTTCTTCTCTACTTCCTGCAATGCCAAAAACAACTTAAGTTATGAATTCTTAATTGAATGTAAGAAAGGAAGTACTGAAAAATTCATGCATTGATGGTGTTAAACCTTAAACCAAAGTAGTTCTCTTTGCATTTGAAGAGCTGCACCAGACACAATATTAAGTCTATTTGGAGGTGCTATCTTTCCAGCCAAATGCAGTATGCAGTGATTGTTTTTGTCTTTGTAAGCAGCAATCATATCCTTGAGTGCTCCTATATCGTGGATAAGTCCAAAAATCTTTTCTTGGCGATGAATGACTGCCATATGAAAAATGCTACGGCTATGCTCATCAACTCGCCAAATCAAATCAGGGTAAGACTGAATAAGCTCAGTTATGAGCTCAACAACTCCAAATTCTGCTGCAGTAAATAAAACCTGTGAAGGGCTTCTTAGTATATCCGTAATTTGTGAGTCCTCTAAGGATAGAATTTGTCCCCATAACAGCTCCACAAGGACAATGGCTTGCATATGCAATAACTTCTTCTTGTAAATGGCTTTATGTCCTGGGACTAGAGTTAAACACAGGTCAGTTATTGGACTTTTAAATATACAAGCAAAAATATAACTAAATTTGAAATTAACACCTACTCGTTTTCTCCATTGCGTGCCAAAGTTTTCCAGCTAAGCCGATAAACACTGCAGGCATTCCAAACAAACTTGCTTGTTAATGTTGAAGGTTTGATCAACATGGAATATCATAAAACTTGATCATTTGTATATGCAACCCATGATTTCCCGTTTAAATGGAGAAAAAACTGAAATGAATAAATTATGTACCAGAAAATCGAGTCTCTATGAGGAAAAATGAGATTATAAGAGAGAAACCTTGATTTGTATGGTCGCAGCAGCATTTTGACATGCCTGATGGGCAACTAGATTTCACTAGTGGTTCCACGTAGATCCCTGCAACAGCATAAAAGTATTTATTAATATGTCAGGAAAAATTCCAAGTACTTTTTCCCTAATCGTAAAGCTTCTAAAGAAAAGTTCACTCAGCTAAGGACTGCTATTTTCTTGGTTCATACCGCCAATTAATGTAACTTACATTTATAAATTTCAAGACTCCTACAGTGTAATAATTAACTTGTCCCTCTGCTGCCTTTGACATCTACAGTCAGCCCAGTAGATTAACTAGTTTGAATTGAGTTCATTTGGTCCCATGTTTCCTAGTTATCTCGAATAGCAACTAGAGCTTTAGCATGATTTGGAAAGGCCAAGAGAAGACTATTACTTTTCTCATTGTTGAACCACTATTTTCAGTGATAGTGTGCTCTGTTTAAACTCTGTTTCTCAGTGGACTTAGGTAAAATTTCATTGAAACAGTAAGATCTAAACTTCTATTACATGATCTTTATCTAGTGTGAGAATTGCAGGGAAGGTTCACAATGTGGCAATTATTGATCAACACTGAAGGAGCAGTGGGGAGTGGAAACGATTACAGGTTTGTCAAAGTTACAAGAATTATATACAGAAAAGAGATACAATCAGACAATCATAAAAATCACAACATATAACAATTTGAATCACGTGATTGAATTTCCAGTGCTTCCAAAATCCAGCTAATTAGATAATGAAAAGAATATTAAAACAGAATTAGAACACTTACACGGGTAGATAAACTTTTCCCAGGTTCCCAGCTCACTTCTGCTGGCAAACGCTGAAGGCTTTCGAGCTAAAACATGAAGTGCTGTCTCCCCATTTGAATCACGCAAAGTAGCCAATTCTGGTTGGTGCCGAATTAAGCAGAGAGCTACATCTAAGGACAAAGGAAGAATGATTAGCTATTTTATTAAGGTTCTTCCCATAAGCAGTTTTTTCTGACAACTAAGGAAAGGGCTTTAGACCTAATGGCACTAACCCCTTCGACATGCTAAGAGGTTTAAAGTCTTGAGCCATAGATATAGTAGAATCAATGAGCTTCTTGATCTATCCAAGTTAAAGATGTACCCAGATTGAAAGGGCAAAGTAATAGAATTGACTGCATATGCCATGCTTTTTACCAAATAAATCAGTAGTGATGGTGGCAATAAGCAGCCCGATGTAATCCTCTTGAGTTAGATCCTCAGCAGCAGTCACCTTGTAGAGATACCAAACCATGTCTCTGTGGCCAAACAGTGCGGCAATGTAGAGTGGTGTCACTCCCTTGTTCCCCCTTATTCGTGGCAAACATTTGTTCTTTTTCACCATCACCTCTGCAATCCTAGTAATACCTGATGCAGCAGCAACACAAAGCGCTGTGTTATTGTACTTGTTCCTTCGTTCTAAATCTGCTACACCCATCAATTTGACCAGCTCCTCCACAAAAGCAATGTGCCGGGCCCCTGCAGCAATGTGCAGAGCTGTTTCCCATCCCTTGGTTATCCTGACATTTGCAGCACCCGGATGCATGTTCAGGAACTCTTTAGCTTTTCTCCAATCACCTTTCAGTGCAGCTTGATATAAAGGTATATACAAGGTAAGCCGTGTAGAATTCCCGTTAACGTTCCCTGCCATTAAATTGATTGAATATTAGAATCAATGAGCTCGAATTATCATTTAACGCTACTTAATGCCATCTCTGAAGTCTAATCCTATCATTTCAAGTTTCCTTAGACAACAAAATATCCAACATAAAGAAAAAACATCCAAAAGCCTTGACAATAGTAAAACTGAAAAAAAAATTGAAAACTGTTACCCACCAATTGTAGGAACCGAACTTGGTAATGTAGAGGCTGGGGGAGTTGCAAGAGAAGGGGCTGGTATAAATTTGTCAACCACTTGAACAGGAGTTGCAGCATTAGCATCCCTTTTGTTGTGGTGGTGATTAGTAGCATTAGTCTGCTTTGAGACCAGTCGAGCACTTGCATGTTCTGGGAGTGGGAGTTTAGAGGCATTGTTAACAAGATCAGCAACTGAGGTTTGGGTTTGAGCAAGTGTCAATGGCTTCAAGGCAGCCCGGCTGGAACTAGGCTGGCTCTCACTTGGAGTTGCAGTTGCAGATGATGTAGCGTAGCTTCGCCTGGAGTTTTGTCCGCTATCATCGAAGTTTGAATCAGAGAATCTTTCAGGAAAACATGCCCTGATAGAAGGATTCCTACCCAACATGTTTAAACTTCCTTCCAATTGTTAGCGTCAACTACCAGAATCACTATATTTATATATAATGCAAGCAAGCATAAAAGTCAACAGCAGGAAAAAAAAACCTCCATTATAAAAGGTCAACTCAAGGAAGAATGGGATGATCTGCAAGAGATTTCGTAGCAATTAAACCATGATGAAAGAAACCGACTTCTAAATGAAGAAATGGGAAATTTCCAATCCTCGGGTTAGAACTTAAAGCAGCGTTAGAGCTTCTAGATTGCTGCTCAGTGACGTGTTCGTAGATTATTAGCCTAGTTTCTGAGCAGTTGCATGGAAAGTACCTGGTCATTACTAAAGCAAGCCCCAGGACAGGCGGTAGACGCGTTAGTAACTTGACTTAGAGACTACCTCTGTTCTTATCGGGAGAGGAAGGAGCGGAAAGTTCCAGGATAGAACGGAACGGATTAAAAATGTGGACCTCTCTTTTTTCTGCCTGGTGAAGGACTGAAGCAGGGAAAGGATATGTTTAAAGGACCATTATTTTCGACTTTTTTTTTATTTGAAAATTAACAATACATTCATTTCAGAGGGAAACAATTCCTTCACTCCTTGAATTCGTTTTCGACCTTATCGTACTAAACATGGCTGAATATTACAAGCCCCCTACCCTTGGACAAGCAACCCCACTCACCATGGAAGGGTTGCGATAATCTCAACTTTGGTTGGATGATACGAAGTTTTAACCCGTTCTTTTTAATGGGATTGTACTGCAAGTAAATGTATAATACAATTACGTTATCTTTCTTTACAAAATTCAAGATCCAATAAGCCTTTTATATACTAACAACATCAAAATTTAGCAAAGATTAAGGCGCTACGTTTTGTAAACTGACATACCAAAGAAATCAGTTCTATAATGTCATGGAATTCTCCTATACCTTTACTGCAGAGAAATCTGTTCTTCCATAGCATATTTTCATTTTTTTGGTTCATACCAATCAATTTTAAGTAACTGCTGGTTACACCAAAAGGTTTAAGATCTTTTATTGTAATATGTAGTGGATGTAATTCGTGAAGCAAAACTGACGAGTCTCATCGGCTTTCTCCCGATAATACATTCACTCTTTCCTCAAGACTCCTGAGTTTTCCTTCATAAATGGTTCCATCCCATCCCTATATAAACCGCAAGAATTCACATTCTTGTTTCCATGTCTCTCAATCTATCCCATCATCTCGGAAATGGCTTCCACCTTCAGGGTCTTCTTTCTGGCATTCCTGTTAACTCTGAGCTTGCTGTTCGTGGCCAAGGCAAGGCCGTCTGACCCGAGGCCAACAAGCAGCCTCGTGGCACGGTTGAAGTTGGATAACGGATCAGCCAACTGCTGGGAGTCACTGGTTCAGCTTCAATCATGCACCGGAGAGCTTATTATGTTCTTCCTTGATGGTGAGACCAACCTCGGGCGCAGCTGCTGCCAGGCAATTCGTACCATAAGCCATCGGTGCTGGCCAACCATGATCGATGCGCTAGGCTTTACCACCGAAGAGACCCACGTCCTTGAAGGCTACTGCGACCATGAAGAGTCACCGCCATCCGTCGTTGGTCCCAATGGAGCTGTTTCTTCTAAACTAATCAGTCCCTAAGTGGATAAATTTTCTGTCTTGATAATAATCTGATCATATAATAATTAAAGCAAAATGCTTAGTAAAGCATGCTTTGAGTATGAAGAATGTATGGACATTTGATTAAATGTTTGCATTTTCATTTAAAATCCAATTAAGAAGGCTTGCAAAAGAAGCCCATAAAAAAGTAATTTGAAGCCCTACATAGTCTGCGGTGCAAGGCCCATTTCAAACTTATATGTTCTAAGTGGAGTTCTGTTGGGCCAAGCCCATCCAATATCAATGAGGAATAAACTTGTGATTTCATACTTTAAGTTACACGTGTTGTATGGTGATAGGCTAAGACGAAGATAATAAAATTGAAAAACAAAAGAAAGAAAATAAAAGAAATTGTCAGCTTTTGAGCCATTGACATGGAAACTGGAGTCAGGGGGAGAAGGATTGTAGATAACAGAAGCTAAATTTGAAGAAAGTTAAAACCCGTTCGGAGTATGGATTCCTTCGAAATGCTTGGGTCTTCAACGAAGCTGGTACTTTTTCATTTAGCTTAAAAGTTTTAGAGTTCCGACTGGCTGCATTTATCTAAAAACTTGCTCTCTATCAGCTTGTCACGATGGCGTAAAGAACCTTTTTTTTTTTTTTTTTCTGTTTCTTCGTTTGGGTTTTATTGTATCTGGGTAAGCCTGTCTGTGCGTAGCTACTTTGAGATTATAAAGCATGTTACTTTTTTTGTATTGGCATCAAAGTATTTCACTGATATGTTTTCTGATCCCAAGTCAAAGACCATCTATATGTGTTGGCTATCAGCTTCAAGTTGAACAGCATTTTAATTACTTTATACAGTTTGTATGCTATAATCTGAGGATTTCATAGCCGTTTGGGAAGTTTACTGTATTTATATTATATATCACTTTGTAACACAGTTGATACAGTAGATGCTGAGGTTAGTTTTTGGCATGATTGTTGTGATATGGGAGATTTCAATAACGTTCTCTCGATAAGATGGTTTTGTATATAATCCACTGGTACTAACAGAGAGATTTCAGAGTTGGGTAACAAATCCTTGGGCTAGACAACTTGCTAAGCTGAAAGAAGAGAGGTTTTTTCTTTTCCCTTCATTTTTTGGTTTACATTGGTAAAGTATCATCTAATAATATGTGCAAGATCTTGAGCGAGTGAAGCAAATTCTGTGTTTCTTAAGTCTCACCCAAACCAAAGTTGCAAATTTGCATGAAATAGGCACAAACATCCCCTTTATTAAGCCTATGCTTGGGAGTATGGATTATGGTCTTATCTTGGCATGGGTCGGGCACAATCTTTGTAGAGGTTTATCTTCTTTCTTTGTTTCTTCGTCATTTTTTTCCTGGTTTGCCTTTACTTGTCCTTCTAATTAATAGCAAGCATAAGAAGTTTGGTGGCACTAGCTATGCCTTAAGACAAAATCAATAAGATAAATGCCAAAATACTGAGATTAAAACAATATATGATTGTTGCAGGCATATGACAATTGTCTATCCTCGTGGCAGAAAACAGAATCAGAAGACATAAATAATGCGATGGATGACATTTATCAAGAAGCAGGACCCACTCTGTTAGAGGAACCGGAATCAAGCATAGTGTTCATGGATCTGCACAGACAGGATGAAGATCACATTAAAAGGTTAAAGGAATTTCAGGCTTACTTTGACATGGTATTTTTTTCTCACATAGCTGTTCTCATTTTTATCTTTTACAACTTTCTTTTTGTAAAATTCTGGATTAGTTTTGATCAGTTAATTCTACGAATGTGGCTCATTGGTCTTTGTGTGTGTCTAACAAACATGAATTCCACCTTTCTTTCTTAGTGCTTATGAGATCCAACATTAGAAATATGGGCAAAGTTAGTGAGAAGACAGCCTGTGAATAATTTGCAAGAACACTGTTTTTGACCCAGCTGTAGAGTGGAAAGAAGAATTGTGTAGACTGTAGCAGAACCCCATTGATTAGTATTACTACCTTCTTTAGTTTAAGTATGAAAAATTTCACCTTGGAAGTATGTTTAATTTAGGGTTTCTAGTTATTGTGTCCATCGCCTGGCTGATCGCTTTCTTTAAGCTCAATGAGATTCATTCCACTTCTGTTTGTTGAGAATGCGTGGTTTCTTATATCTGTGTCTATCTTTTATATCAAGATTTGAGGGCAATGTTCTGATTTTTACAGCATGGGAATATAATAATGTCGTTTCTTGTGAGAATACAGTCATTCACGTGTATATTAAAAATCTTTTGTAACCTTTAATTTAGTCTAATGGTGAGGAGGTTAACCTGGAGCTTGGCATGTCTTAGGTGAAGAGGATGGTGAAACCTGGTTGTTCACAAGATGTGTTAAAAGTGGCATTGAATTCCATGTCCTCACTAGTAAGCATACTTACCTACATGTCATCCTCTCCAAAGCCCCATTCCTCACTTTGAACAAGAATTAATCCAACGCTGTGGTCATGTTGTACACAAAAGAAGAATCTGCCTGGATGTCCATTAGATGAAATTGCATGTTACAGATTTGCATGCCTGTATTAAACCTTCTGTTCTACCTTTTGAACGGTCACATAGTGGTCCAGATCAATGTACATTTAAATTTTTCAAAGAAGCAACATATGGGAATGTTCTATTCTGTAACTTGTCGGCACACAACATTATGCATCGCAAGCTGTCACACTTGTAGTTAATTATTATTCATTTATCTCGATTATTGAAAATAAATATAGTAGTAATTTGCCTTCCTATCTTCCTTGAAGCAATTTATTTCTCTCTTTTGGGGGGGAGGGGGTGTTTTAGAAAACACCCTTTGATTGAACGGATACGTCATAAAATTGCCCAAATTGTTGTTCTTTTTGAACAAATGCTCACTAATTACATTACATGAAGTTACAGACAGCATCCATAGATAAAAAGTACAAATATCCACATAGGCAAGTGCTGCACTAACCAATGGCATTTTTGTACATGGCATACGAGATTAGATCGTAGAAGCACTAATGGAAGAACCAAGGATGCTTGCCTATGATAAAAGAAAATAAGTTCTTAAAAGGTTAGCTCTCTAAACTGGGTCAGGACCTGGTTGCTTGGGGACAACAGCCCCACTGTTCATTCTCGCCCGTGCCTCAACAAACATCCTCTGCTGCTCCGCCACTGCTTCTTCCTCAGTCATCTCTGCTCCATTTGCCACCTTTCAAAGAGTCCTGCACGGGCTCAATCTTGTGTTGCTCATATGCAGCATATGCCCTCTTCAATGTACTCCCTAAAACCGAGAACCTGTAAAAATTGCTCAAATTTTAATCAAATCTTTAGAATGAATGTAGGGTAAGATTATTATGGCATAGTAGATTTTCCTCTTTTTTTTGAAGTGCCAGAGTGGGTTATAGTACTAGTATTACTCCACAAATATCTAAAAACCAATCTGTGACTATGGGACCAAGGGGACTATTGATATATGAGCCCTGTAGCTAATGTCTAATGGCATCTTTGACAGAGGACTAGGATCAGAGCAAAGGTTCTTTTCCAACAAGAAGAGAAAAACTGAAAGAGGGCCACGAGTCCAAAATTCAGAGGGACGGAGATACCCAGGCCCCCCACATCCGACTCCAGGAGCAGCAAATTCGGCCATTAGCCACCACCTAGAAATGTGAGCCAGTTGGGCGTGTTATGTTTATTGAATGTAGGGTTTAGCCTTTTAGCCTATAGGACATGCCTCTGCCCTGCCCTAAACACAAAAGACCTAAGGCTCCACCAAACCAAACCAAAACCAATGCTGCAGAGTGAGATTCGGATGTGTCAGTTTTCACCCGGAAAATGTCCTTCAAGTGTGTGCCCATATACATTGGTATCATCACATAAATGGACACATGGGACACCCATCGTTTTCATTTTCTCCTTTCTCCTTCAAGAGAGGACGGGTAGATAAGTGTCCTTTTACGTGTCCTTGTTTATGGCCATCCTCCTCTCCCAATGGTCCATTAGTGCTTGTCACCACACCGAAGAAGACTCTAAAGCATCTCCTCTTTTATTACCCTATATATAAACCACACTGTTGCACTGTTTTAATGAGATAAAACAAATCCAAGTTTCATAAATATTCTCTTTATGTCATAATTTATCACCACTCACATTGGCAGAGATAATTTTTATAAAAAAAAATTATAATCAATGAAAATTAAAATTCAATTTTAATTTTTTAAACTTTTTTCAAAAGTCAAAATCAATATATAAATTGATGAGGTTAATAAATGTAACTAAGGTTTTTGATCACTATTATTTTCCAAGTGAAGAAAAGCATTTATGTAAGTATGTCATAAATGTTGAATCCTTTTTGAGGGGCAATCAATGCAACTAACACGACGAATAATTGATTAATGGAAAGGTTTTTAGCCATTAATTGAAACCAAATTGAAATGGTAAAAAGTTGTGAACCCTATAGAAACCAGTAAGATGCAAAGTATCTATGCCTCTCAATAATGGAGATAATCTACACTTCCTAACTTGCTAGTTCCTACCCATACATATGTATCTTTTTTATAGAATCGTAAGTTGTCATTAGATGTACAATATTGGCATTAATTATCACAATTTAAGAGGCCACTCAAACTAGATGTTTGAATAGTTATTTGTTTCTCATTTTGATTTGGTTTTTGTTTTTCTTTTTATAGGAATAAAGGTTATTAGATTAGAATAACTAAATAAATCAAATAATGAAACCCCAAGATAAATAATTTTGGCTCAAATTCAACTCTTTAAGTAAATAAATTATACACTAATTAATAAACCAAATGCTTAAGTACAATATTGGTTTTGGTAATTGATAGTATTGCAAATGAAAATAAAAGCTACTTAGTTCAGTTCCCATTGTTTAAACTCCCAGATCAAACTAATCCAAGTTACAATTAACAAGAAACTACTAATAAATTAAACCGAATTAACTCTCTAGCATTCAATAGTTTTAGTTTTTATGGCCATGTTCAGATGTTCCATGCTGCCCTTCAAAACTTCAGAAGTTCATTCCAACTTGCAACTAAATTACAGGAAGCCAAAGTTAATCCCATGCTGATCAAAGAATATTAATACTTAGATACATACATTATAACATCAATTGAAAGATTAAACTGAAATTAAAGATCCTTTATAATCAGATTGAATCAAGACCATGGTTGGTACAATGTATTAGACATATGCCCTTAAATTCAATTTTCTTAGTTATTTATAAGATAAATAAATTAGTACATCAATTATTGATTTCATATATATATATAGGGATATTTTATTTATTTATTTATGACATATATGATATGATCATAAATTTTTTGATAACATTGTGAAAAAATTAAATTAATATTTTATGAGTTATGACATACATGAGTTCGATGTGATCATAAAAATTTTTTATTCATAAAATCCATGAGAAATATAATATGACAAAAAGATTAATTAGTAATGATTGTAATGAAAGTGAGCTCATTGATATTCTTTTTTTTATATTAATAGACATTATTATAATTAACGAGTAAATAAAAATTTTTAATTAATTCAAAAAATTAAATGACAATATTAAATTAAATAAAATTATAAATAAAATATTAATCATGAGAGCTAAAGATCTCAACATTTGGTTTGGTTTATATATAAATATCTCAACATTTGTTTTGGTTTATATATATATTTGGATTATGGATTGGGTCTAATGTAGATCCAAATCTATTAGTATATGCATAAGATTGCTACTTAATTAGTCATTAATTTTTAAAAAAATTATATTTTATTAAAATCTTACAAGTTAGTATATCATCATAAGTCCTGAATCATGATAAAGGAAGACATATAGTGACATAAAAAGATTTGGAGTATGAGAGTCCTCTACCATCATGAAAGTTGCCAACTATTCAAAAGGTAATCGACCATCAAAATTAATTAACAACAACAATTTAAAAAAAAAATCTTAACAAAAAGAAAAAAATGTGAATTTCTTTGAAGATAAATAATAGTCGCTTTCGAAGAATATATTTAAATTGCTTTGAAAGTACGTATATTTTGATCTTTTAATTATTGTTGCTGTTGAATTATAAATAAAAATTTCGTATTTATTAGTAAATTGTTGGAACATAAGAAAAAAAAAAGAAAAGAAATAAAATGAAAGAAGAAACAAAGCAACTCTACCACCACCATTGGCAATAACGATAAGGTTTTATAGTAACTATTATTTTAACCATTCCAACTCAGAACTCACGAGGAATGTACACAAACACCTGCCCCGGGTCCCAACTGTCAATCAGATAGCCCTGGACAGGTTGTGATGATTTAAAAATGAAAAATGACAATATTTTAGAAGAAATAAAAAAAAATAAACTGGTGAATTATTCATATCTGTGCTACACGTTCTAGCCCGGAGAGTATTATATATTGATATTAGCACGCTAAAAGAAAAAATAAATGAAACAAAATGTTCTTCTTTTGGCGTTTAGTGATGGGACAGTTAAAGTGCATTTATCAAATCATATCATTTCCCCCAGCCTGCAAAAACTGATCTCTTCTGACTCCTTTGCAGTTCCTTCCTTTGTAGTCCTTTTGTTTGCTATTTTCCCACAATCATACCACTAAATGCCCGCCCTCTTTTCCGACGTTTATTGGGTTTTGTTTTGTTTTTTGTTTTTCATTCTTGAAAAATATTGTTCTTTTTGATATAGTCAATAGCATTTTTTTTATTGAAAATTTCAATAAAAGGAAAAGGGGATTGTATTTTTAATCGTCTGTTGATGTTGTCATTGCGGTGTTCTAGGTTGTCATGATGGTGATGGGTTGGCGGCCTTTGGGTTCCCGGGATAGTCTTTTCTGGATTCTTTGTCATGCATGATCATCGCTTTCTTTTCTCTTGTTCCTCTTTGTTTAAGTTTTGTCTTTTTCCTTCCTGGGTCTGGCTCAGAATTCAGGTTTCTTTGGCCCTTGTGTGGATTTCTTGTGGCAGAGAAATGCGGATTTCAAAGCAAGGTAAGGCCTTTAGCCAATTTTCATCATCTTCCGTCACTCTCAACGTTTTTCTTTTCTGCGCTACGTGTATTGTCCTTCGGATTATCTGCTGTTCTCTTTTGTTAAAATTGTTAGGCTGATAAGGAGATAAGCTTTATTGGTCTATGATATTATTTTAACTCTCTCGGCTTGCATTCCGCATCCAAGTTTTGACTGACTTCTTCTTCTTACAGTTGAATTGAGCTTGTTTTACACCTACGCTAATCAAGCATAAAGTTTTGCCATCTTTTCTCATGCTTAAATGGATTCTGATGACAATTTCTTTCCTGAATTATGCAGATTCTGATATCAAAGGGACATTTTTTTATGTCATTTCTTTTGGTATGTGCTAAATCTGTTGTTGAATTCTTCTATGGTCTCTTTTCAATGAGGTTGGTTGTGAGAGGGCTGTAAGTTTGTGAATTTTAAATGGACTTGTCCTCTAACTGTAAGCCTTCGAGGGTATTTGGCTGCCATTTGACTTCTGTAACATGCAGATGTCTTGCTTTGGTCACTATTGCTCTGTTTTTCAGAGTTATATTGCTTCATTCATTTTCTGCCAACGGTGCGATTGAATGGAACAATCTGGATTTTATTCTAAGCCGTTCTTTGTTGTTGAATTCTGATGGTGGGATTCGTAGAGATAAGTTCTTGGACGCTCCTCAAATTGTGTGGGGACTGAACAATCAGAAGATAGCTTTTGCAAGAGCTTGTCTAACTGCTAGAATGCTGAACCGAACTCTTTTGATGCCAAGCTTGAGTGCTTCACTTTTCTACAAGGAAATTGACCGCTTGCAGCCTATTTCCTTTGATAAAGTCTTCCAGTTTGATAGGTTTAATTCACTTTGTACTGGGTTTGTGCGGTTGGGTCGGTACTCGGATCTTAAGAATCAATCAGGAATATATGATCTCCAAAAGGGAAGTGGAAGAAAGTGGACTGTTGAGAGAGACCTGGAGCAGTTGAAGCGAAGTAGCGGAGGTCCAGCTGATAAGTATGAAGTGATTAGAATTGTTGGAAAGAATCCGTTTCTATGGCATGATCATTGGCCTGCTAAAGACTATGCAAGGGTCTTTGAGTGCTTAGCTTTGGTTGATGAGATAGTAAAAGAAGCAGATAAAGTTGTGTCCAAGATTAGGCAGATAGGAACAAAGCTTAGGAGCAAAACTGGGCCAGTAGAAAACAATTTTGATGCAGAGGGTTCTTCACTGCCACCAGCTCCTTACGTAGCAGTCCATATGAGAGTAGAGATAGACTGGATGATTCACTGCAAGAAATTAGAGCTAAGATCAGGCATAAGCCAAATTTGTAGTAGCAAGCAAGAAATTATGGAAAGAGTGGGGAAAATTGTCAGCTTTGAATCTCCCACTGTTGTTTATCTTGCTGTTGCTGATAGCCTCCTCAATGATTCTTCAATATTGGGTGGTTGGAAGAAAGGATTGCTTCCTTTTGAGAAGAAAAAATTAGGGGTTGATGGAATCTACAAGAAGTATCCATATCTCATTCAGTCAGCTATTGACTATGAAGTGTGCTCAAGGGCTGATATATTTGTAGGGAACAGTTTTTCCACTTTTTCTAGCATCGTGGTTCTTGAGAGAACACAAAAGATGATCAGAATAGGCACCACAAGCTCATGTGGCATTGATGTTAGGTGGCCATCTTATGCATACAATATACCAGATGAATCAAATGGGCCTCAGAAATGGATGACTAATATGTCTGATTCAAGTCTCAAAGCAATTAGTTATGGTTCTAATGTCATCTCATGTTGAAGTTTGTCCCTGCACAATTCCCCACTTGCTGATGATATTATCACTGTTCAGCAATTTTTGAACCCAATTGATCCTGCTGGTTGAATGGTTCTACGGATATATACTGTAAAGAAAAGCAATAGGAGAGAATATCGAGATACAGTGGAATACTGAAATAGGTATAGTTTCATTTTTGTAATTTTAGTGTTTCGCTCACTTCTCTTTGATATATCACATGTTCATGGAGAGTATATTCATCTTGAAACCATAGTCCATAAATTTGTTTATTGTTTGTTTATATCCTCATAAAATTTTGCTATTTGGTTACTTCTTGTTGGTTTCTATTGGCAAATGGAAAGACAGTCTTTTCACCTATTTCTGTTGTGGGATTTCCTCCACACTAAGGCTATATATGGTCTTAATCTTCCATCACTTGGTTTTCTCGCTTTTTGAAGTAAAGCATTAATGTTGGGGGGTCATTTCCTTAGTTATATTCCTTTTGTTGTTTCCGCCATTAAAGGATAGGATAGGTGCAAGAATGGAAAAGTGAAGTGAATCACCAGGCTTTGTTGCGTCCACTACAATCAAAGAATTCTTGTGTAGGTCCAACATTCGCCCCGATGGTCGTTCTTTTTGGCTCACACCGCGTAATGCAGGCAATGATGGGATGAGCTGTATGTTTCTAAGAATCGACATTAAAATGAGTATTAAAGGGTTTTCATGCTGCCTTCTTTTCTTTAATGTCTTGTCTAAATGAGTGTGCTTATGACTTTTTGTTTGCTGAATGCTTGGCTCTTTTACAATGATTTTCTTGCTTTCTTCTGCTCTAATAATAAGTAATTCCGTTTGTCAATTCTCTTTTGTCTTAATCACTCTCCCTATTTCTGCCTTCTAACATCGTAAGATTTGCTTGTCCTTGTACTTTGATGCGCATATACCCAGAAAAAAGTACGTCCATGACCTGCCTGTAACCAGAACAAGTGAAAGTGAAATGGATCTTTAAAGAAAGGGAAATGTGCAGTGACAAGGTTGTGAAATCCCAAATATAGTATATCTGCAGAATGTGACTTACGGGCAACATGGTATTGTTGATTCCCATGTGAAGCTGAGAAGATGTTCTTGGGTTCATAGTCTTGAGGCTATCCTCTCGGAGAGCAGTTGCCAACGACTCCATGGAATCACTTCTGTTGTCAAGAGGAAAAACTGCTAGAGGGAGAGAGCTAGTCAAATGCACATGCCACCCCACCGAATAATACATTTATAAAAAGGAAAAAAAAGAGGTGGGGGATAGTATGCACTAGGAATATTAATTTTATACTATAGTAGCTGAAACTTTGAAAACTGAAAATAAAGACAACAGTGGGGATACTAAGCCCAGGGTCTGCCGAAAAATATTGAAACTCTTGTGCCATTTCTCATTCCCTAGGGAAAAGTCAAATTGCATGTGCTGGTGCCTCTCTCTTCCAAGTCTTGCTGGGAAGGTTATGTAATATTCATTAATACCAATTAAGAATGTACGAAATAAACAACACAATCTGTAATACTTTGGATTTGGATTCTCTAAGATATCCCAACATAGTAATGGACTTCGCTTGGCACAATTGATGCTGTCTGTCCATGGTACTAGTCTAGTTCACCAGGCACAATTGGCAATTCAAATCAAAGAACAAAGATCCTGATCTCACTCCATAATGCAAGCCAATCCTTATTCCATTTTGGAGCCTTGGAACCCCATATAACCCAGTCTAAGCGGCTGTTGAAACAGTTAAACAGAAAAGTGACTCCTCAAATGGGTCATTGTTCGATCCGTTTTGGAAAATACTGGTACTGATCAGTATAACCCTATGCCTGTGAGCAGCTATTTTGTTTGCTAATACAGGACCAGACAGTTGAACTGTTATTAATAACCATATGGCCAGCCATTTCTGCTAAATAGACCTCTGTCGGCGGGAGGGTAAAGTAATACTAAAGAGAGACTAAAATGAAATAGAGTCCTACTAGAACCAGAATAGCAACTAATGTCTCCGGAAGAGTAGCCTGACCCCATCATAATGCTGAGCAATTAGAACTGCGCTACAACATCATATTCATAATGAGCTCAGTGAAACCAAGAGAATTCCTGTAACTTGAACATGAATGGAAGGAGAAAAGAAAACAGCTTTCTTAGCAATAGTAATGCAAAATATTGCATTCAAGAGAGGCCATGTCAAAAAGAAAAGATTTGTTTCATTAACTTTCTTTCAATTTGATGACATTACTAAGATCTTTACCCTATCTTCTTTCTTTTTCTTTCAAAAAGAAAGCAACTATCATGCAAGAATCTTCCGCAAAGACCTCCAGGGTATTCTATCTTCCAGCATGTAGTTAATGACTAAAAAGAACTACATAGAGGGAGGAGTGCTGATCTCAACAAATTTGTGTAAATGAAAATGGAGCCAATAGAGTGAGAAACTCTTTGCCTCTCTTGTAAACCTTGTTGGATTCATTAGCAACTTATTACCTAATATTGGAATGATCTACACTAGCTTCATTGAATATAGTCTTCGTAGTAGTTGTCACTTATTACAGAGACAAATCTTTCAAGCCAAGGAAGCTGATGAAGGTCCTTCATGGCATCTACATAGGAATCTGTACAGCGGGGTGGAGATTGATATGGGTGATGCTCACTCAGACTAAAACCCCCAGCAAGGAACCTTTGTATTAATGCCAGCTGTGATCTTTCTTGGTCTGAGTATGCATCCATGATCATAGGGAATGAATTGAAAGTATCCCATGTCCATTGTTCTGATTCTTGGACAGAATGTGTGACCAAGTCTTCGGAGTTGTCTTCATCCCAAAAGGCACATTGACAGGTCTGCTGACCATCCCTGTACTCAGCACCACAAGAATAGCAGAACTCATGTCCGCACCTGAAAAGGAGACATGGAAACAATTTTGGTTTCAGCATCCCCAAACCATATATATATTAAAAAAGGTCATATAAAACTAAATTGCACCCATGTATAAAATATGTGGATACACTTCTTCACATGTGGACAAATAAGAGATGCACACAAGCATACAAAATTGCATAATCAAAGGATGACCAACACCATTAACTAAGTATTTAAGTCATGGATGACTTGGTAATATAACGGGGCAACCAAAAAAGGTCCAAACATACACAACAAAGTTTTAAGTCCAAACATCAAATGACCCTCCCTCAGCCACACACTCGAGTCAAGTCTCAACCATGTTACCATTCAAATATAGTCTAATCATTTGAGTAATCATATGATTAGACCATTGCACAAAACAAAAACTACAATTCAAAGATGGTACAAGCTGCATGACCTGTGATTAGATTCAGGAAAGAAATTGCAACCAATATAAAGCATTTCACGCAGGAAGGAGATTGGCATCAAATGGTTTCTTCTGTCAAAGGTCAGTCTGTTCAGTAGTTAATCAATTCTATCTAAATTCTTTCTAATAACCAAAACACTATTATGAGAAGATGGAACTTACCAGCATGTCATGTGATAGCAACCTTGAGTAAGCTCAATCATCCTACGGCACTGCTGGCAACGCCTCCACCTCTTGTTTCGTGCCAACCGATGCAAAGTAATATCTGCAGCATCTCTTTCCTCCAGGGGAAGGTTCTGGTACTCTTCACAACTCATTGACAAATGCCATGCAACTCCACATTCCACACATATAAACCTTCGACAAACTGGGCACTCAACACAGTTATTATCTGATTGACTAGATGAACTTGCCCTAGTTGACAAGCATTCACGAGGATCAAGCAAGACCGAACAATTTGGATAAGGACAGTATATTCCATCTGAATGAAGAACATTTGCTTCTGCTTGGGCTCTTTCTAAAGACTCATAGGAAGCAAGTGGAAGAAAAGATTGACACTCAGCAGTGGAGATGTAATATTTGCATCGTAACTGAGGGCACCTAATTGGGACTTGGGATGACTGCACTTTACCATCAACATAAGTTCTCATACAATGGGAACAGAATTTATGTGAACACTTCATGGTGATCATCATTAACGATAACTTGTCCTCACAGCAGATAGAACAATTTTCAAGTGATTTATCTCCCTTGGCAGGGCTAGAAACGACTCCTATTGCTACTTGGGCTAGCTGCAATGGCCTTAGAAGATTGGTGCTTGGAACAAGTTTCAGAACAAACTCTTCCAGATTACGGGTATGTTCGAGGATTCTTTCCCTCAGTGCCATCAAAAGTGGATTATCGAGTTTTTCCTCACATGTAATCTGCCAGAAATTCATGTCAGTAAAGCATAGTTTAAGCTATATCATTAAAGCTATTTGGGTTAGAAAAGATTATGAACTTCAAATATATTATCTATCAAAACAATCACTATGGGTATTTTCCTGTAATTCATCATAAGCAACCACTGGTTGTTCTTTTTACCCAAGTTTAAAGATTTTAGAGATGATCAAAAGTTTTCATAATTAAGCCATAAATGATTGCACACATACAGTTCACACAGTTTGCATTTAGTCGGTTTGAACATTAAACAAATAAAAGTTGCATAAAAATCAGTTACTAGCACTAGCTTTGACGAAACTAAACTTCAAAATTTAAGCTACCAATCTTTTAGCATACTTGAATGTTCTAAGTCTAAAATCAGGAGATGAAAATTAGCAAAAGCCATGTTTCATAACTCCAAAATTTAACAAAATGCGATGCAATGGATTTGCTCTTCAGATGAAGAGAAATAAGCTTTTACGAGACAAATCGAAGCAAAATAAAATTTCACATTATAGTAAGGTTATGTGATATTGTCTGATGGAAGTAACTGTTCTAAGTGTCATATAAAAAGAGGTAACCTTTAACGTTTGATATCCAAACAACATCATGAATATACAATTCTTAACTGACCTGATCATATAACGATTCGGAATCAGTAAAGGCATATACACGGTGGATTTTGTTCTGCACAGCCTCCGTCAAACCATCCATTATAGCTAAATAATCAGCCACCGATTCCTCCACATAAAAGTCAAGCTTTTTCTGCACTTGAATAACAGGACAATCAGCTGATCTCTCCATAACCACCCCAATTCCTGAAAACCCAGAACCAGAGTCTCCAGTGTCAGCTAAAGAGATGCCCTTAAAGAACATCTTCACTGAAAATTCATCAAGCTCTTCCCTTTCTTCTTCCTTTACCATTTCTTCAGCTTCCTTCCATACCTCATCATCCTCGCAACAGCTCCGAAAGTCTTCCTCGTCTTCTTCTACTCTCGCTTCCCCAACTAAGGATACAGAGGACTCATCAGGCAAATCTTTTTGATCCTCCATCTTTCAAGACCAATTCCTCCAAATATTCAAAATGAGCTCTGCTACGCTTTACACTTCGAGTAATTACTGATATCCAACCAAACCTAAGCATAAACAATTAGGATAAGAAAATCCATCTCAAATTGCATGTCACTGAAAACAAAAAGACAAGAGAGAGAGAGAGAAAAAAAGTGATCTTTTCTAGCTAGTATTTCTAGAACAAAATCCAACACAACCATCAAGGAAATTGAGCTAGACCCCAGATTTTATTACCAAAATCAGCTGAAATCACAAAAAGAGATCCGCAAACAAAGTGTTGATCTTCCAGTTCCTGATTCCAAACCAGGATCTAACAAATACCCATCAACAGATCAATTCAAAGCTCCAAACTTTGACCAAAAAAAATAAAACTTGGAACTTTTTCATGAATCAAACTCAATAATCCAACAACCCCAGAACGAAATAAAGTTAAATCTTCCGAGAGATCAATCCCTCCATTACTTTCGATAAAACTACAGGGCAAAATAAATTATACACAAAAGATAAAAAAATATATAATAAAAGGATATCTATCAAATGAAATGAAACTTCCATACCATCGCTTGGAACATTATCCGGAAGGGGAATTTATGGGCTGTCTTGTGAAATGGTATTAAAAACCCTAATTTCTGACAAGCTGCCCCCTGTCAGAAAATTAAAAATATATATATTTCAATTTTACCGATGTTAGATTAAGGAAAGATCATTCATCATTTTGTGGAGACAGAAAGAGAAAAAAAAAGGAAAATGAGAAAGAATCATCAGTTACTGTTAGTTTTGGTGTTAAATGGCGTAAGAGAAAAGGAAAGACCTTTCTTTTTTTAATTTATTTTTCTTTGCTTTTTTTGCTTTGCTGGCATTCTTTTGTTCTCGCTTGATTAAGATACAATTTTGCTTTTACAGTTCTCCAGATTCCCCCATAATAACGTTAAATACTGTCACATATACAAGGTTCAAAATTTACTAAAAACATTGATTTATGGTCCATTTTAATTAATTATCTAGCAAAAAATTCTTCCTGTGGTTGAAAATTTTGCATTAAAACATACAATCTGGTCATAAATTTTTAGTGCTTCTTATTATAAAAAAGTATATAAAGCTGTGTACAAGATAAAGAGAATCAAGTGGGAATTTATACCCATTATTATCTCAAATTTCATTTGAGGGTAGATAAACGTCGTACAGTACTAATCTGTTTTCTTCCATTGATTCCATAGGCTGAGCTACCTAAAAAAATAAAAAAAGATTCCTTAGGCATTTTTTTAATTGCCAAGAAATTGTATTTTTTATTTTTTGTGTTGTAATTTTCTCTCAATCACCAAATAAAATTAGAAAAAAAAAAAGAAGTTATATACTATTGGATAACGCAATAAACAAGGAAGCAGATTCTCAGCCAGAAAGTGGAGAACGTTGGTGTAAGAAATCTATGCACATGGGCTTTTGTCTGTTTGATGAGAAAAAATGTGACTCTGTTTTGACTTTTACCCAACCAAAACAATTTTTATTTTATTTTATTCATTTATTTATTAGTAATAAATAAATCTGCAAAAGTTACTGTAGCAGGGTTGGAAAAATGAGACAATAATCATTACCCACCACGCCCTTTCCTTGTATTTTACTACTGCACTGCTACACATCTTGTCTAATCCAAAAAGAGAGAAAAAAGGCAACATGAACACCACCTTAATAGTGAATTAATTCATTAATTAATCAAGGGAATACTTCGCAATTTCCTTGTAAATCTCTTTCCACCTCCCTTCTTTTAAGCTTACTAAACTTGCTTGGATAAAACTTCTAGAGAAGAAAAACTAAACTTGTGTTGTTTGTGGAGGAGAGAAGGATACTTGGATTTATGTTGTTCGTGGCCACTCTAAAAGCCAGACATGCCAAATGCAAGTCAACCTTATAGTTATAGCAGAAAGAGGAATTGAACATCTGTTG